CCATTCACGCATTTTACAAGGGGCAGCAACTATAAAGAACCACCGAACCAGCCGACCGTCCGCCGTCCGCCCGCTACCGTCCTCCAATGATAAACTGAACGCCACGCCAAAGTACGATGGAACTTGATCTTCATTCTTATGCAAAAATTTGTATTTCTCTTGAAGTACACGTCAAGAAAGTCAAAATAACGAATAATTTATGGACGTTTAAAAGTGCCCTTTTTTCGATTAGATTAAGTTTTTATTGTCTTAATATGAAATATAAATATTAATTGTTCATTTGTATTCTTGTTTCCAATAAATAACCGCGAAGATATAGACCATTAAAGTCAAAAGTAAAGTGTGTACACATAATTGTTGGTTACACTGTATACTTATTTACATAGTATGTATTGTATGTATCTGGCAACGCTGTCAGCTGTTTTCCTAATCTCGCCACAAATCGTTACTTGAGTGATTGGCTCGCGACTCCTGAGTTCTAAGCCTAATCGAGCGACTGGTTAAAAAATGCATGCTTTGTTTCATTCACAATATTTGTTCGAAAACTTTTTCCGTAATGCACTCTTAGTACAGAGGTGGAACTCGACAATGTCAATTGTCAATTACTATATGTACATACACACATACATCATTAGTCTACAAGTATCATTTTCATTTTGAAAGCTAATTGCATCGGCTTCGTGTAAAATTAGGAAAGAAGGACCGGTTGAATTTTCATTTCACTTGCATTACCTAATTTTTGCACTATCCAGAGCAAACACATATGGATGTATGTATCTATGTATGTATACATATATTATTCCCTTATGATGTAATCTTTAAACTGTTGGCATTTCGATTCGTCTTTTAGTTACAAGGAAAAGCGAATCAAATAGCTGCTCTTATTTCGATTTCATTTGTAGTCAGCTTTCCAATTATTTATCCCAAATATCAACAATCAGATCTTTTGTACCATGGTGCACTGTTTTGAGGGTTATAAAAACAGTTCAACACTCTGGTGTGGTGTGGTGTGGTGTGGTCTGGTCTGGTCTGGTCTGTTTTGTTCTGCCCTTGGCTATCGCTCTGACTCTGACTCTGGGCACCGCGAACATTTGCATTTGGCTCATAACTCTTTTGATTGCAAATAAACCCACGACCCGCACACGCGTGCTTGGACTCGCCGGTCTCGCATACTCTAACATTCACAGTCGAATGGGTATGGCGTCGAGTTTATTATTGTTACCTTCTGGCTCGTAAAATGCGTCACGCGCTTTCAAAGCAGGACCAGACTTAACGCACCCACGCCCATATTGCGCGTCTTGTTTGGCTTTGGGAGAGCGATGTGATAGAGAATGGAGTGGAGTGGAATGGAATGGCATCGCATAGCCGGCTCTTATGTTGAGCATCCTTTGGCTAACAACGGAGCGCATATGCAAATTAAGTTTGTTTTTATTGTTGGCCCAACTGTTTTTCAAATAATGTCAACCGGCAGACACTTAATGGGTTTTTCGCATCTGGCCGAGCTGCCTCTGAATGGGGCTGTCATGGCTGAGCATGCGTAATGAAGCTTAAGTAGAACTGGTTATACGTATAAAACAGCCAAGACGCATAAAATTCTTGACAGAAGCGTCACAACAACACCAACTACAGATCCAAGTACAGGCACAGGTAGCTTAAGTGAATGCATTGAGTGTTAAACGCTCAAGAAGGTGAGGAGCGAGGGCGTCAGATACTCAGGACAAAAGATATTAAACGATACCTATACACGTATACAAATAAATGTATGTGTAGTGAACGATTTTACAAAATAAAATGCATAATAAACATCAGATACCAACGAGCGCAATAAATATTTCAGTCTGCTGCGATCCAAGGCATAAAGAATTTCATTTAAATAAACTGAAGATAAACAAACACGAATAGGTATCAGTGATTGATGGGCCTGCCAAGGCAATAAGAAATCATTCTTAAATTTCGATTGACAGCAGACATCAGACTGATATTTATGGCATTTAAATAAACTTTAACTATACGCTACCAATTGTTATAAATATCTTTATATGCAATAATATAAGTACTCCAGTATGCCAATAAACGATGGAGGGAGATTAATGAAACATTTATGGGATTGTAATCAAACTAAGACTACAAATTATTTTATAAATAAAAATTGTTTAAAGGAGAATAAGTGTAATAGTATGCCATAAACGTTTTAATGAGGTCAAAGGAAATATAAATTTATAAATAATAGTAATTACTGAATGGATCACAGGTTAACATGTGATCTTTCTTTCCCATGTCGATTAGAATTGTTTTCATATCCTAATGACACCTTCTCATCAGAGCACTATAATAAAGTTGGTCAAGAGTCCGGGCCATTATCCAGCTAACCACAAAGGCGTCATCCAAACACATCTCTTACATGTTGATCACGCACAAAGCACAGTCGGTAAAACAATCGTCGAGCATGGAAGGCCAACCGTGCCTTGTAATGCGTGCTCCGTGCCCATTCGCGCTCACATTCCGGTTCAGCCAACACAGTGGCAGAGTCGGAGCATCCGCCTTGAACGCGCTCACGTCGAGCAATTGCCGTGTGCGGCGTGTCATTTCACTTAACGCTTCTGCAGCATGCAACACACGTGCACACACTTACACACCCACCAACTCTCGGTCGACCTTTCGGAGCCAATGCTGCCCATAAAGATGGCGCTCTGCGCCATTTTTCCTACATGCTTACTTCATTTATTACCCCTAGCTGGGGGTGGGGGGGACGTACATGCGGCCCAATGTCGCATTATATGTCAACTATATGCATGTGTCGTCGATTTGCTTTCATGGCATTCAAGACCACTGCACACTAAAGGTAGCAACAAGAGCAAGAACAACAACAACAACAACAGCGGCCACAGCTGGCAAGAATTTCTGTCGTTTTTCTTGCAAATCGATAGAGCAGAGCAGGCAAATAGTAAAAGTTTTTGCTGCTGCTGCTACTGCTACTGCTGGCCCGTCATTGCTCTTTGAAGTGTAAGTGATAGCTTTTAAGTGTGGCAGGTGCCACAGCAACCTCTACCCAGACCCACCTTAACCTTCCTTTCATGCAACAAAACCATTTGTTCGAATTTTGCGTTATGCTGAAAATCTGTTAAATAAATCAGAAACGTTGCGTAAAACAAGCCATGCACATGAATCATAAATCAAATGTGCGTAAATTCAATTAAACTCTTTTCACACACACTCCCACACACCCACACACCTTTACATGCAGTAAAATTGTGTTGCATACTGCAAGGGGCACAGATGTGAGCAGAACGTTACAAGCAAAAGTACATATGTATAAATGCATATTTGTGGATGGCATCTACGCTGCAATATAAGATGCTTATTTGCTTTCTTGATTACGAATGTACCCTTTCGTGTTGTAAGGACAATTGCACCCACTTGAGCATAGTTAGGACGACACACAGCAGAGAATTGTGAATAAATGGATGAAAAGCAATGTCATTACTTAGATATTTAGGGATTCCCACATGTTTTGCATAGATCTCTAATAGTACAGATTGCCTTTTTTCAAAAAGCTGCCAATCATATCATCTTTTTCTGAGAAAACGGTTTAATCAGAATTGAATGTTATTGGCCAAAATAGTAGCAGCATTCATTAATATGCCAACTTTTATTTACTTCCGCTGTCATATTTTTATTTTACATTTGAACATCATGTAAATTTTTTGTTTAATTTTGTAAAGTAGATTTAAGTAATATCTATATACAAACCCTATCTTTTTTTAACAATCAAATAAGACTAAACTCCTAGTTTAAGCTGTATTTGTATTTTTCTAAACGTTTAATTTAAGTTATTGTAAATAATGATAGTATATTTAAAGTTTTACATTAAAAAAAAATTTCGTAATAATCATATATGTACTATTTCAAGTTTTAACACTAGAATCATTATATTTTTTAAACAAAAAGTGTAATTTCTAATAATCTAGTTATTGCTTAAACGTCACGAAGGAATATAATATTTTTCAATATTTGTTGCCCAACAACTAAAATGCCATTTAATTCTGTTCTATAACTAAAATATTGTCAATATTGTTGAATATAGGCAATTGTTATTTATTTATTTATCACATAAATGTTTCTCAAGCATTTCGTTCATGATTTCGCACAGTGCCTGGCATCGCCTGCAGTCCCTGAATAAAACATATTTGCGTACATATACAAATATATATACAAGTATGTATGCATATACAGATAAAAGTGTGTGTGTAGGTGGAATGTGTATTGGCGTTTTTGGCGTAGCCTCAAACTGAATATTTTGCATATTGTAACATTTAATAAATAACGCTTGTTGCCTCTGCTGGTCATATGAATTACACAAGCCATGTTTTTATTTTACTTCACCACATATTCTTTAATAAATATTACAAAATTGTAAATGTTACATGAGCGTTGTATTCCCCAAACGGTCAAATAGTTCAATAATTCTGAAAGCAACGTCGTCCTGGCCAGGTTGTATAACAGCCTCCATTGGTAGATTGTGCAAGCCACAAATGAGAAATAAAAGAAATATGTAATAATATGGGCTCGCAGCGGAGGTAAATGATGTTGCTGTGGCCAACCAGCATGCGCCCTGAACTGTAAACAAAGGCTCAGTATTTATTTATTGAGTATCTATAGTTGTTGTTCCTCAGGAACACAGATAACTTGCCCGTTTAGAAATGAGAACTTAAACATGGTGTCTAGCCTTAGCTTACAAAGCTGTTGTGGGGGTTAAGAAAATTTTTACTTTTGAAATAAAAATAATAATCTTTATATAAAAGCTATTCCGATAAAAAATAATTAACAAATTGCAAAGTATCCCACAAAACCAATTTGTATTCAAAAACTTATCAGAGGGACTTGCACTATAACTGAAAATAAATACATATAATAAATGTGTGTATTTGTTTAAACTGGATTCTAGAGTTTTGAATAAATAGTACTTTAATATTTTGCTTTTCTGCTCATTTTCCTTGCAGGACTATCCCGCGGACGAGCCAGGAAAGCTGACCGAATTAAAAGTTCAGCAGCTGGGCACATCGGAGGCCGCCAGAAGCGAATTCGATAGGCACAGAGAGCAGGAACTGGAACTGAGTAAGTATATATGAAAATATATAAAATATAGCTGGCTATACAAAAAAAGGCGTCAATGAGAAATCAAAATAGTCGGGCAGGTCAACGACGCGACGTTTAGCGCCATTAACATGCGGACATCGCCACCGCCACGCACGTCGTCTCAATGGCTTTTTATTGTAGTTGATAGAGTAAAAAATGCAAATACATACATATGTTCATATATATATATATATGTAGTATGTATGTATATTTGTTTGTGGATGCATTGGAGGGACGCCCTAGCGGTAATTGCGGTGTAAATAGCTACGCCTTCAGAACGGCCCGCACATGATCATCACGTTTTGTCCATAAAAATGTAGCCCTGTTGTTTGCTAAACAAATGCGCACTGATGCCAGTCAGTCAAGCAGTCAGTCAGTCCTGCTGTCCTGCAAAAAGCCCAAGTCCCAGAGACATACATATGTATATAGAATTGGAGTTACAATCGTCGTCGTTATTTATGGGACGTGTGGGTGTTTGGGTGCTTTGATGATGTGCCTTCTGCCATGTGTCTGTCTCTGTCTTATCACAGAAATAACTTTTGTCTTCGTCCTTCTATATAGTACTATATCCTTTGGCAGCACACACGCACGTGACTTGGTGTGAACAGCAGTTGGCCAAATCTGTACACAACAAAACAGGCTAAAAGCCAAGAAGAAGAAGCTCTGTCGAAACAAGTTGATGGCAAGCGCTCACGCACTTTCTAAAACAAAACAGCAACAACACAAGTGAGAGGGAGGGGTGAGGGAACAGAGAAGAAGAGCAACATCAATAAATGCCAAGAAGTCACAATTTTTTTCTCTTTTTCCTTTTTCTGTTGCTGTCCCATTGACAAGTCAACCCAAAAAGCGACTGAGCATTAAAAATCAATGCACAACAAGAAATTTCCCTGCTCGCTCCCTCTCTCTGTTTCCTCCGCTCCTCTTCTGTTCTTTGCGCTGCACTTTCCTTGCAATTAAAACGAGACAAAGTCAAAATGTTGTTGACTATCGTCAACATGCACTTTGTTGTTGCTGCTGTTGTTATTGCTGCTGCTGTTGTTGTTGCTTCTGTTACTGCTGCAGCTTACCAATTACTTCATTAAAGTGTTGTGCAGCTTATGCTCGATAGGCACGCTGAATGGTCGCCTCTTCTCTTCTCTTCGCCTCGCTTCTCCTCACGTCGACTGTCAAACACGCGACAGCGACGATGGCGATGAAAATGACAATGACAATGAAATGTGAGCTCGCTGGCATCTGAGCGGAACATTGCCGTTTAAGCGCGAAAATAGCCTTTAACGGTTAAAAGCAATTTCGCACAGTGGTTGGAGCCAATACAAATTTTAGTTTAATTGTTTGTTGTAGACGATTATTGTTCCAATAGGCAGGATAATGTTAAGATCTTAGCGCTGTTATGTAAAGCGCATCGCTCTGGCGCTGTTAAGTAAAAGCGCTGTTAACCCAAAATGTTGCTCTCGGATTGCGTCGCCAATTAAATAAACTAATTTTAAGCTATTATACAACCTAGTTATTTGCAATCCAATGTACTTATAAGTTAATTTTCAACAAACTTGTTAATTATGATCATTTTTTAAACGAGTCACAAATTAATATCAATTATAAATTTCATATTTAATTTTATATTTTAAATTCGAACGCTTTTCAACAGCCTGAACAGTCGCTGTAGTAAAAATTAGCTTATAAATTTAAAAATAATATTATAATAAAGAGCAAACTACAAAATTGGAATACAATATAAATTGTGAAAATGCAATGAATAGAAGGGAATATCTTGTTGATATAGTACGCATACGTTATTATTGTTGTCATTGGCGCTTTGGAGCTGTGACTACTATTCTTGAATTCCAATATGCATCATAGAAGCTCTTGAATAAATTATTGATTGGGATAAGGTGTTTCAAGGAAAGCAAGTGTTTCTGGAATCACGGGTTATAAATTTAATGTACGAAATAATAAGAGTTCGTAAACTATTGTTCAATAAATAGGCATAATGTTTGTTTTTGATCTATATTTCAGTAGGTAATGTTTCATAACATAGAGCTCTCCCAAAATTCAAAATATAAGCAAGTGTTTTCGGCTAAAATCCCGAAAGATTTTCTACAGTAGGCTTAGCTGCGGATACCACTGTGCGATGTCTGCCTGCTTGCCTACCACTGTCACCGCAAATGAAAGTGTGTCACTAAGCCTGGGAAATTGTCAATTGATATACAAGTAGGTTGTTGTTGTTGTTGTTGTTGTTGCTATTGTTGCAGTTGCTGTTCTTGTTGTGGTTGTTGCTTCTGTTGCTGTTGCCAGTGTCGCTTAAAATGCGCAATGATGCAACAATTTTCTTATCACATTGTTGCCATTGGCTGCCGTTCAGGGAGTCTACAGATCGGTAGTTTAGTTAGGCACTTCGCTTGTTTGGATATTAACCGTTATCGGCTGTTTATTCGCGGCTGTTGTCGAACTTGTCGTCGTTTTTGTTGTTATTGTTGGTGAGTCATCGGTTGAGCATGCAATTTTGTTGTCCCTCGTTGGCCGGAATGCACGCCAATGGAAGCAAACATGCAATCGAACAGATACATAGTTGCCTCTCAAGCGTTTCTGGCGCGTTTTGCCAGCGTTTTTGCGCTTACGTCTGCCAAGTATTTGAACTTTTTTATGGAAAATCAATACGTAAAACTTTTTAAATATGAAAGTTTACCAAAGGATAGTTTTGAGAGTTTGTACTTACTCTTAGGAGCTAATAGGTATTAAATTTCAAATTGCTAGCTTTTTAGTAAGTAAAAGTTTAGAGGGAAAAAGAAATATGTGTTAATTAAAGCTGAAAATCCTTCATAACTGTCTAATTTAGCAGAATTTAAGGTTTCCAATTCTATAAATACATATCAAGCCCTTACCGTGAAGCATCAAGAAAAGTCTTACACAGAAGAGAGTATTTTTCAGTCGTTAAGGATCAGCATAATGAGATGATTCGATAGAGACTTCTGTTTCCGTCTATCTACATGAGCCATAGCTACAAAAATTGGTATGTAAGCTCTTTTAAGTAGACTCCTGGCAACACAAGTTTATTTCATTTTTTTAGTCCACTTCCACAATTCAGAAACAATACAAATTTAGGCCAGATATTCTGTTTGTAGATCTCTTTGGCTATCTCAAACAATTTCTCATTCGTACTCATACTCTCTTGCTTTAAAATCAGACAATTCTTTAAACAACGACTTATAAATGAGCTCGTTAATAAAACTTATTACAGCATCTATGGTATTAAAACCACCAAGTGCCAAACTCATATTTGAATTTGTCTCCAAGCATTAAACTAACCAATCGATTTAGGGTATTTTTTAAAGTCTTTCAAATGCCGTTTCCTGTTCAATTAAAAGCTCCGCTTGCTATAATTAAATCCAATTAGAGTGTGAAATTGTCATTTTCCTATATTTTTCAAAATACGAACTACGTCATTTTGGAGTATTTGGCATTCACTTACTAGATTTTTGATGCCAGTTCATTGCACTGCGATAATAGCCTTGTTTGCGCGTTTCGTGCGCGTTTCTCCGGCGTTTTGTGAGCGCTTTAAGCGCGTGCATATCTTTATCGTTGCACTTTAAGACATTTGCACCTTTATTGAGGATCATTAAGGTGCTTTGTTTGGTTTACCGTTGCGGCCTTTTAAGTTAGCAGTTTTCATTTTTGGCCGTTTATTGGCTTTTAATGAGTGTGTGTGAGCAATAAAAAAACGCACAAAAATGCGTATCAGTTTTATGCGCTTGTCGCACAGCTTTCGCACAACGACGAAATGCACTCGAATATTGTCAGAAGGCCAAAGGAGTGAACGAGCCAACGAGCAAAGTAAGGCAACAGCCTGCCAGCCTGCCAGCCATCAGCCATATAGCGAAAGTAAAAGGAGGCCACCCAGGCGCTCGACTTTTGATGGGTGCCAGGTAGCTAGGCAGGCAGGCAGGAAGGCAGGGGGCGGGAAGCCGCCCACTGGAACCATGTCTGGGCCTCAAACGTGTCGGCTGCAGCTGCAGTTCAACTTTCAAAGTGCCGACTGTGGGCCAAGCCATTGGCAAAATACGTAATTTACATAAATGTTGCATGATTGAATCATCAACTTAACGGGCAGCACAGATAGAGATGGATATAGACATAGAGGGAGAAGTTCCAGCAGCTGCTGATGCTGATGCTGCTGGGCCATGAATAATTCAAGGCTTGATTGTTTGGCAGGCAGTCAGCAGACTGCAGCAACAATAACAACAACAACACCAACAACAAGCACCGTAAAGACTTCAATGAGCGCATCGTGGCTGCTGCCTTTGAACTTGCAACGCCGTCCCAGCCACAATGCAATAAAAATGGCGCCCTTGGGGCAATTGCTGTTGCCGCTGTGGTTCTGCTTGCTGCTGTTGTTGCACTTTAAGGCAGCAGCAGCAAAATCAGCTAATAAAGTCATTAGCCGCCACGTTTTCGAACGTATTTAAAAGTACCAAGTATTTAAAAGTACTTAAGGGACAAAGAACTAAATTAGTTTCCAATATGTGTCCGCAGTAGGAAATTCTTTAAAGCGTTTGTCCATACATCCATGGAAAATTGAGGACTCTTATGTACTTATTTCCTCCAATATATACTCGTAGTATGTTGGAATGGAAAATTATTTCTACATTCTCCATTAGTTTTATTTATTTATTTATTTATTTATTTATAAGCCTTATCCTAGAGTTACAAGTTAGTTAGAGTTAGTGTAGTTAGAGTTTTTTAATTAGCAATAACTGTCCAAGATCTAAAAGTTTTCTACGGAGAAATCCATTCTACGATACAACTAATTTTATAAATGTTATTTAAAGAGTTGTAAACAATCCGCGCATCATTGCAGAAGGCTTCCCGTCATTTTGCTTAGCAGCCGATCTCTCTTTCCATCTCATATTCCTACATATATTAAGATCTGATGGAATGGAAAATTATATCTTCATTAACCATTAGTTTTTTATTTATTTATTTATTTATTTATTTATTTATTTATTTATTTATTTATAAGCCTTGTCCTTAGCCTATCCTACAAGTATTGCGTACTTTTAAATCATTACGCTAGTCATAACAAATTTAATTGTATTGAGCTTATTATTAGATTATTTTATTATTATTAATTTTACTTTAAACATTAATCATTTTTAATAATCTTTAAAATTATAAGTATGTATTTTTAGGTTTATTTTATCAGTTTTATACTTAATCTTTTTATTTAATTTGCAACCTATAGTATAAATGTCCAAAATATAGAAATGTTGTACAGAGAAACGAATTCTACGATACAACTTATACTATAAATGTTATTTAAAGAGTTGAGAACAATCCCAGCATTAAATTCCAGTCATTGCAGAAGACTTCCCTTCACTTTGCTTAGCAAGCGATCTCTCTTTCAATCTTATAATTTCTATATATTAAGATCTCTGTGCTTAGAGGATCAACTTATTTTTAGAATCGAAAAATGCAAACATTCAAACCTTTTTCCCTCAGCTTATACTAAATGTTTCTTAAACAAGAGAGAACGCTACAGTCGAGCAAGCCCGACAGTGTAATACCCTGTACCCAGGTAAACTTCCGTCACTGAGTTATATGCGCACATAGCAGCAGCAAAAAGAGGAAGAAGAAGAGCGAACTTGTTGCAGTTTGGGGGGGTTGTACTGGCGAGAATTTGTTTCGCTAATAACTTTTCTTAGAATTGACCGAATTGAATAAAATTTGGTTTAGGTAGCATTTGAAATGTGGACGCTATTGACGAAATTCTGCAGCGGGGGAAGGGGGGGAAAATTAAAAAAAAAAAAATAAACTCGTCCTTACTCGGACCTAGGAGAATCTGGAAGCCAACTTTGGTTATTCTAGCTTTTATAGTTTCTGAGATCCTCGCGTTCATCCAGACGGACAGACGGACGGACAGACGGACGGACAGACGGACGGACAGACGGACGGACATGTCTAGATCGATTTCTCTCGTCATGCTGATCAAGAATATATATACTTTATGGGGTCGGAGATGCTTCCTTCTGTATGTTACATACTTTGCACAAACCTAATATACCCTTTTTACCCTACGGGTACAGGGTTAAAAACATTTTCTATAAAGAAAAGATTTTTAAAAAATTTAAGCTTTTAACACATTATTACTTTTCTTTAATTTCACTTTATAGAGCGGCTGGCTAAGGAGCATAGACAGCGCATGGAAACGGAGACCCGTTGCCGTTTGCCCCAAAGGCGAGTCATTTATATTGCGAATGAGACGTCCATGGACTACTCACCACGGGGCACGGTGCTCTATCGTTGCGATGAGTCCACCGGCTGTTGCTCGGACAACTACAAGACATGCACCGCCAAGACGGTGGACTATGTGAAGCTGGCGTTCTGGGAGCGCTCCCATATCCTCAACACAATACGTCCGGTTATGCTATCGCTGGCCAACCATACGGAGTGCCATTGCGTGAACCTGAACGCGATGCGTCAGAAGCGCAGCAACAAGGGTGTTGCTCCAGTGGAATATGCGCGAATGTCCTCCCAGTGCCAGTGTCCCAAGCATTTCACGAGTTTTAACTGGGACAGCAGTAGATCCCCGTCCACGACATTCTCTTCCCACTGTCGCTGTGACTGTCATCTGAGCGATTTGACGTGTCAGCGCATGAAGAATGGCGAGGAGGGCTTTGCCATGTCCGCACGCATGTAAGTTTAACCAAAGACTGACTTTCATTACACTGTGCAGCAACATTTTCCACTTTAATTAGATTTTTCCTTTAGGTACATTTTAATTACGTGTTCTGTTTAGTAGGCGTACAGAGCAGCAATCTATTTTAGAAGAATATATTCAAGAGATCAACTACATTTATAGAGATAAGTAATTATTGAGAGATTTAAAGGGAAACTGAATGCAATTAAAACAAGAAAGGAATGCTAGAGTCGCTGAAATACCCACTTCCAAAAAAAAACTAAAAAAAAAAGCTTAATTTTTTGTCTAACCTAGGACAAATCTTAAATAATGTGTTAAAGATTAAAAAATATGTATATGCTGTCCGTTCGTCCGTCCGTCCTTTTGTCCGTCCGTTTGTTCGTCCTTTTGTCCGTCCTTTTGTCCGTCCTTTTGTCCGTCCGTTTGTCCGTCCGTTTGTCCGTCCGTTTGTTCGTCCGTTTGTTCGTCCGTTTGTTCGTCCGTTTGTTCGTCCGTTTGTTCGTCCGTTTGTTCGTCCGTTTGTTCGTCCGTTTGTTCGTCCGTTTGTCTGTCCGTTTGTCCGTCCGTCCGTTCGTCCGTCCGTTTGTCCGTCCGTTTGTCCGTCCGTTTGTCCGTCCGTTCGTCCGTCCGTTTGTCCGTCCGTTCGTCCATCCGTTTGTCCGTCCGTTTGTCCGTCCGTTTGTATAATTGCAATGATGAGAAAGTAGAAGAGCAAAAATAAACAAACTTGTTATCCAGATTCTCCGAAGTCCGAGAAAGTGCAATTGCATTTACGAAATATGTTACGGTTTTATGCCCAGTTTGATTAAAATATTTTCATGTATTATTATTATTATTATTTATTTATTTATTTATTTTTGTAATCTCTATCCTAGCATTACATGTATAGGGTTAATTTTAACTTATGTACGTACGCTAGCCAGCAAATATTTAGATCGCTATCAATATACCTTTACAATACATTTTATATATTGTTATCTAAATACATTTCTAATTTAATGTTATACTTAAAAGTTTTTTTTTTTTAATTTTAACACAACATTTTATTAGTAAACCTTTGATTAATTAGTTAAAATTTAGGTTACTTTTAACTTAGTACGCTAGTCATTAAATATTTTTTTAGATCGCTATCAATATACCTTAACAATACATTTTAAATAATGTTATCTAAATACACTTCTAATTTAATGTTATACTTAATTGTTCTATTTTAATTTAGCACAACATTTTATAAGTTAAATTTTGATTAATTTAGTTAAAATTTTTATTATTTCGCTGCATCGTGTTTACAACTTTTTTAAGCTATTGCAGAGTTCATATTCATAGTCCCTGAGTCTCTTACTTCATTTTATTGTTTTAGATGCATTTTGACGAAGGAATGCAGTGCGCCCATTTGCAATTATGGCATTTATAATGTACACAGTGGACGCTGTCCGCGTTCCGAGCAGCAACAAAAACAACAACAGCAACATTTGGTGCAACGAGCACATCATGGTTTTGGCTAAGTCGCATTTGGAATTGTTGCTTTTGCTGCCATTTAAACATAACAATCCAGAACTGTGTATACATTAAACTACTACTACTACATACATACTTGTACTTATATTTACATACATACGCACACACACACACACACATGCTAATGTAGTATATGTCTGTACCTATTACGATACGAAATGAATCTATTGCTACAGCCTACGATTAAGTCTATGCAAGTATTGAACTAACATTCAAGTGTACTTAAGATTTCCACATAAGAATCACTATTTTACTATTAAAGGATACAGCTAGTCAGCGAAACATAGACCCCGTCTACTTACTCTACAATTGTGTTATTTAATTAATGACTAACACTAACTAAAAGATTTCGATAAAAAGATTTTAATATACTGATTATGTTATTGTTTTAAGTTTCCAGGTAAGGACTTTTAGCTTAAATGCCGCATTTCAGAGGCAGCTTTGATGGAAGCTATCGTTTTGGATTTATCAGCTTATATTAAAAGCGTTGAAGTGCTTTGAAGGAATAGATACAGAACCGAATTCGTGTGGGCTCCCCTGAGGCTATCATATACCGAATATCATATCACCACACTGGAGTAGTTTCAAAATTTACCTAATTGAAAAAAGCTTAGGGATTTTATACCACAATTTAGTTGCCAAAAGTCGTTTGCTCCTTTGGTAATCTATAGGCAATCCCATTTGTGGCCGAAATATTAAATATCTTCTACATAGAAATCATTCTGAACTCTAGGACTAAGAGTCTTAGGATTATATTGTTTTGCAACAACATTTTCAATCGGCCAATTTAATTGTATTTGTTAAAAACTAGGCCACAAACCACCTACCAAGAAAAGCATCAGAATCGCATTAACTACAACAAATTTCGTTTCATTTTGTTTTTTTCATTGTGCTTAGCGACAGTTTCTGGAATTTTTCCTTCATTGTGATGCATATTTTTTCTAGACGCGTCTCTTTGCCACATCCACATCATAACTGCTTTAAAAACAACATAGCACTCTATATATATTATAGAGTATGTATGTAGAGTTTAATATAGAGTCTATATAAACTTAAGCTCTGTACTTACCAGTGTTCTCTACAGCCCCAATCTATGTGCTGGACGAGAACTTGTTGGACACATTTGAAAATGTGAAATGAATTCTCCAAATATTTTCAAAACCAAATGATTAAAGCAAAGGAAGGTTACGTTCGCCCGTCGAGATGCCGAAGTATTATTATTACCGCCAGCAAGCAGCCATAAATTGTGGCATAAACATCTAGCAAGTAGTACTGCCACCAATTCAACATCCTCCCTGGATTATGCAGATGTGTAGCCCCGTCATGTCGCATGACATACTCCAACCAGTAAGCTGTCAGGGCGCTTGCATTCAAAGGACGATCACGATACAGCCGAGAACTACTTCTGATATTTTCCCTGTATTGAGAAACCATCAGCAGCTCACGCAACGCAGTTAACAGTGATGCGGAGCTTAAATTTCTTGGGTTCCGATAAAGACCCCAGCCCTTGCGGCTCATGCGCCTCAAATTTGTGTGCTGGTCGCCTAAGAAAGGTAGTCCCAGCATGGGAACACCATAATAGAGCGCCTCAGTTAGACTTCCCTTGCCGCCGTGTGTGATGAAAAGCTGAATCTGTCCACTTGCGAGCAGCTGTTGTTGGCCCCACCACTGCGATAGCTTTATGTTCGAATGAGTTCCACTTATGCTACTGACGCTATCGTTGCTGCCATCGTAGGTCCAGTAGATGTCATAGTCAGGCAGCTGGGCAAAGGCCTCCACGAAGATGGCCACAAAATCAGATGGGACTGTATGCCAGCTGAAACGTGTGCCCAGGCTGAAGTAGATAAAGGGACGAGTGTACCCGATATCCGTATCTATAGCTTTCAAGCCTTGCTCCATGCATATGCCACCAATGTCCAGCATGTTGGGCAGCAGCGGCGCAATGGGACCTTCACTGATCATGTGATGATTGTTGAGCGCCAGCACCACTCTCTGACGCATCTGGTCGAAGCTGGGATAATGTGAAGGCGAGAAGTGTTTGCTGTGTGGATTGAAATCAAGAATATAATAAATTAGTGCTCGTTTGGGGCGTTTGTTGCAACTTTCGTTTAATCTCGTTTAAATTTGAGTAAATCAATTCCAAATAACTAACTTTCTCGAACGAATATAAATATTGGAACTGCAATTTAATTCGATAGCTTTATTGCAAGCATTCTATCTTTCGAAAATTCATTTCATTTTACCTGTAAATGCGTCGCATAACTCGTCGCGCCATCAGCTCCGTGGCCTTCTCCCACACACCGAATGCTAATGCCCTCCAACCAGTGCGCTGCCTTTTATCGTAGGGCTGTGGCACATACCAGCGCTCCTCGGGATTGCCCAGCAAGCTGTGCACAAAGCTTATGGGCTGTTGGGTTGTAATTATGGCGACGGGACAGTTAAAGTGCGCGGCCACGCCCAACAAGTGATCGTTAAAGTGATAGCCCAACAGCAAGAGATCATAGGCAGGCGTAGGATTATGAGCCATAAAGGCCTGCCATTCGGGTTCGTTGAGAAGCTGCTCGGCATCCTCCAGTCGCTCATAAGTGCGCTGCAGTCGTGTGAAGAGATCTTTGGATAGGTTCGCATTCTCCGCTGACTGCTTCCAGGGCACAAGTATATGCGTGAGATTGCCGTCGAGCTCCAACTCACTGTCCAGCGGCAATGTGGTGATCAAAGTCAACTGATGTCCATGTTGGAGCAGTACTCGAGCCACAGCCGTATAGACAAGCAGCTGCGAACGATGCACCTGAACGAAGATTCCAAGAATATGACCACAACTCGTCCCACTCCAGCCCAATGCGCTCCAGCAGAGCAGCAATTGAACGAGCGACAAACGCATAACTGAAGTGGTTCGTTGGTTCTTCGTTTGGACACTGCCAGCAATCACACATTTAAATTCAATTAACTGATAAATGTGATACGTTCAATCAATCAAATAGCAAACAACACAATTTCATCGCTTAACTTAAGTCAAAAACAAACTATATCGAAATAGACGGGTGATTACCAACAAGCCCGCATACATGCACCTACTCAGGGCTACTGTTTTGAATCAATACTTGTATATCCAATATTTTGCTTCACTTAAACAAATGAACTCATTTTCTGTTTTACAGAAATAAATTAAATTATTGGTATAAGGGTAGTAGGTAAGGTAAGTAGTTATGAAATGTAATAAATATTCACGCCTTCCTTAAGTTCAAGTTCTGATTTATGTTTTAATTGTTATTTAAATTTTACGCCCCTAAATATTCGACTCTTGACAGTCTTTCATGATGGCTGCAAGGTTTTAATGCTTTCCATATTGTCAAATAAAGTATGAAATAGTATATGTTGCTTAAAGTATTCGTAATAAAAAGTAAGTAATATAAAGCTAAGAACTTCAAGAATAGCTGGACTTGAAGAACAGTTACTTTTCAAATGGACTTTCGTATCTCACTTTTCATTTTTTGTGGGCATCTTCATATAAATATCATCTTGAAACTCTTTAAAGATGATCTTACATTTCTCACTATGCTGTAAAATTCGTACATTAAAGTCTTCGCCTTCGTTGTCCAGCATCTCATCCGCTTCGATCATTATCTTGAGATAATCCAGCCAGGCTGTTTCCAGTGCCGAGACCTGATCGCGTGTTTCGTCCGACAATTTCACTTTGTATTTGTCCAGCAGAACAAAGAGTTCTAGCATGGGTGCGAAGGTGGACTGTTTTTTAGGAACTTCCTCGACTAGGCGTTCGAAGAGCAGCTTGGCAGCCAGAGTTTCCTTAAGGGTGCGCGGCACCGTCATAATTTTGCGCTCATTTTGTCGCATATAGCGATAAATGCCTGTAAGAGTAAAAGCTTCAACGACTGTACCTTCTAAGGAATGAAACTTACGTCTAATTAGTGAGGAGGAGTGCTCCAGGAGCATGCTGATGTTCAATGCTTGCCATTTCTCGATCCAATCCAATATGGAGCTCTTGATGGCGTTCTGATTGATCAGCACGAAGTGGATGTGTGTTATGGCTTCCACAAATGATATATCATCGGCCAACTCGCTATAAAACTCGATGCTGCCCTCGAACACGCCCGCTGTCATGGGCGTGGCACGTAGGCGCTTCTTGAACTCAAGCTCTGTAGTTTCCCATACGGCACGATGCGCATTCCATGTGTCTATATAACCAGCTATGTCCTCACGTTCCTTAGCAATTTCTGCATTAATACTACGCAACAGTTCTGCGCACTCCTCGTCCTTTCTGAACATTTTAGCAAAGGACTCTCGCAGCTTTTGCTTCGGCAATTTCATTTTCTGTCCGATGCGCGAAAACTGATCGAGAATATTGTGTATGCGGTCGGCGGTGCCACTCAACAAGGCAGCTATGGCATCCATATCTGGTGTGAACACAATTCGGCGGTCCTTGATGTCTGACTCCATGACTAGAATGGGTGCCGCCGCCATCTTCTCGTCACGTTGCAATGCAGCGCTAATGTTGGCAAGGGATCTGCGAGCGCTGATCAAGAAGGCATTGGACAGCATATCATCGAAGCTATTCACATAGCTGTGCCACTCCACAGACATCTGAAACAAGAAAGAAAAGTTTAAATCCCAATTAAAGACTCTACAGTTCCTCATTTACGTTGATCAAATCAATCAAAGAAAAGCAACTCTCACTCACCTCTGCCATGTATGGCTCGAACTCTTTGCTGACTGCAAATATGAGTTCGATGATGTTGTTGTAGCAGCTGCGGAGAACGCTGCTCGCCCGCTTTATATAATCCGCCAAGTGCTCCTCAAACACAGATTTAGCCACCGCCCCTGTACATTTTAACTTAAGCATCGGAGTATCGCAAATCTTCTCACAGTAGCGTGCCACATGACGATTGGTTCGCTTATGGAGCTTCACAATTTCCTGTAGATGGCTTGTGTGGAGAGCACAATCCTCGATATAGGACTCGCTGAGCTCATCGCCATAGGTGAGGCGACAAAGGCCTGGCATTATTTTGCGATCGCAGGCGTGAAGAAGGCCGCGAAAGAGTTTGCGTTCCTGTTCCGATAATGCGGCCATAATGCGATTATAGCCGAGGCAAACTTCCAAGGCGGTACTGTAGATCAGACGAAGGTTGTCGTGCTGCTCATAAAGCTTCTTAACTGCAACGGGTAGGACGAATCCAAGCTGCTCAAAGTGCTGGGCCTCTTCACAAATGTCTAGCACACTGGGATCAATGTTACACTCCAGTAATCCCCTTCTGAGCTTGCTACGGGTCAGTAGATAACGATCTAGCTTGTGGTTGAGCGATGAGGTTGCACAGCAATTATTTTGCCACTCCTTGAAGGATTTGCGCATCTCCAGTTCAAATTCCTTGCGCAACGTTTCGAATTTGCTTAGAACTTTGGCTGCTTCGGGCACAGGGGGTAGCCATTCGGAGCTGGTTAAGCGATTGCGCATCCATGTCAAGCGTTCCAGATTGGTTTTGAAGCCCAAGGCACGAGAGACATAGTAAGGCAGCCAGGACTCGTGCAATTTACTGCGCTCCCTCAGCATGAGAGATGTGACATCCATTTCCTCAGAGAATCTTAGCCAGACTTTGCTAACCTGCCGTAGGTAAATTTTTCGCAGACTGCCTCGATACGAGTAAAATAGCGTGACATTCAAAGCCTCAATCTCTTCCTCCACATTGCAGACGTTTTGGAATACGTTCGATATCAGGCGCTGCAGCGTTTCCTGAAAGCCTTGAACGGTGCGTCTATATTCCGCCACCTGCTCGTACCACTCATTCCTGTGCACATTCAGAATTGTGTCCTTGGAGCTAACACGTAACTTTGTCAACATCTCCATAAATTGACGCTCCACATTTGCGGCGATCTTCTCCAACTCGTGTCCATTTGTGCCGCCAAATTGTGGCTCCGCAATGCTCTCATTCTCATCCAGGCGTCCAAAAACTATCATCGATTCGCATATGTCGACGACATCGGTCAGCCGCTCCACAAAGGCATCAACATGATTAAATATTATGGCATCGTCCAATGCCCAACCCACTTGCGGCTCCCGCAAAGCGTGCTCCTTGGACATGTGCTTATAAATGCCTTTATAGGTTTCACAACAATCGATGGACATATTGCACATTTTCATCCCGAATCGTGGGCTGCCCGATAGGATTTTTCCAATATCAACCTGTTTCATGCAACCGCGTATAATCTGATTGCTCAGATTGCGAAAAAGGCCGGTAATCAAATCCCGACACTTATAATGCTCCGAATTCAGCCAAATGTAGCGAATAAGATGCACAATGCGTGGAATGCATTTCGTAACGGCTGCAGGACTTGTGGCTTCATCTATCTCCGCACATGGTTTGATTAGCAGATGAAGATATTTTATATTGGATATAGCTTCCTTCATTTCAATGTCGGCTTGCTCAATCAGCTCATCCAACTGGCTGCTATAAACGGAGTGAGACTTTCGCAGCAATTTTATGATTTGTTGCACATCCTTTTGGGCCAGCTGAGCATTTAAGCCCTTCAGCACTTCGTCTATAAAATTGTAAATTAATTTATCATAAGTAGCACTACAAAGAATCGAAAATTTCCTGCCTTTTAAGCTTAATATTCGAGTATACGTTTGCGAAAATACATGCCTATTGAAGACAATTTTTCTGAGTGTCCACATAGCAGTATACTAAAAGTTTGTTTAAAGAAAATGTTAACTTACAGCGATATTGCCAAAATTCGAACTCATCGCTCACTGTGACGAAGTCATGGGGCACCGTCAAGGTTCTGTCATTCAGCAGCGTGCGTATCTGTGTAGCCCAATAAACTACAATCCATTCCAGACTCTGCAAAAATTGTCGATCAGAGGCAACACCCTCGCGATCGTTTTGGATCAAAACATGGGGCACATAAAGCACTGCCATGCCGGACATTTTGTAATGCATGCCCGTTAAAAAGGCTAGAAATTTGTCCAGTCCCTTGCCGAAGCGTTGCTTTACATTCTCCCCCCATGCAGCATGATTTCGGAAAACGGGTGCATAAATCAGATCGAGGACATGCATCAAACAACCGTCCACATCGCTGTGCACTGTGCCACAGTGAACCTCATCATGGAAGCCATCGACTGTGAAAATTGCATTGGGTTCGCGAAGGAAGTAAGTCATGTCCACTACAGGCACCTCAGGTGCTCCCAGACAGGCGGACAGTGTATTTCCCTCGTAGAATATGGTCAGCAAAGGCTCATGAACCTCCAACAGCCAACGGCGTATCATGTCGAGAGTCTTTTCCTGCCAGCTGCGATGATCTAGTGTATACAAAAGTGTCATGTGCTGCACGTTCTCCATAAGCTGATTCAGTTCCTCATCGCTATAAGCGGGTCGGGGCGTTATACTGCGTAATTCCTCCTGACGCTGCTCCTGGCCCTGAGCTGCTCATAAATGTAGCATCAGCGAAAATCAATTAGAAATATACATTTCCGCGCTTACCTTCCTCATCCGAAAGATCGGAGTCGGTTAGGTGTTCATCTTCGACAGCACTTGATGAAGCCATCATAGGCCGGTCATATAATTGTTAAAATAAAAACAAGCTATGACCATAGTAACGGCTTGTTTAAAAGAGCAGGCTACATAATGTGTTGGAAAACGCACTTTGCATTCAAGTGGCAACGCCGTCGTTTCTTTTCCCTCAGCCCTGGAAGCATTTCAGTGATACGCGCGAATTAGTTTATACTATACAGCATAGAAGATTTTGAAAATGTCGCAGCAAATAAACAGAGATTTAACCGTTCGGGCCTGCGAAATGGCCAACCAAGTGTTCCCAGAACTAAAGGTGCACATTAACGATTTCACAAAACCCACGGAGCAGTTCCTTACCAAAATTCTTATACACTATCTGCGCGCCTTTGGATTTAGAGTGGAACCGCTTTTCAATATAGAGGCCGGAGCCAGCGATACATCGCGGGAGAAGCGGCTGTTCCTAATAAAGCTATGCCGCCAAATCGAGAGCATCCTGCATATTTCGTTTCCACAACGCACTTTCACTTACGTCGATCTCATCACGCCTTGTAAGTTGAGAGCTAGCAATATTATCCTCCTATTATATTTCATAATCTCTTTTAGCGGCCAAGAAAATAGGCAGCGTCCTGCACGCGCTATTTAACTACTTGTGCTTTTATAAAATGTTTAAGAAGGCGGTCTTTGCATCAATCGAGGAGCCCATCAAACAGCACGAGGGTCTGCTTACTGCCGTCGCCGCCAAGCGCCGTGAACTGGATCAACGCATTAAGGATTCAGCGCAGGAGAAGGATGACATTGCAATATGTCAGGCGGCCATCATACAACTACAAGCCGAGCTGGATCAGGCGCATGTTGAGCTGCGTAGGCAAGAGAAGGCTGTCCAACAACAAAATGCTGTAGTTTCCAATAATGAGGAGGAGCTTTCCAAACTTACCCATGAAGTGCGCCAAGTGGAAAAGCTGGTGGTCAAGGATACAGAAGTGCAGAGAATCCAAGAGTATATATTATATAAATATTTTTACAGTTCTACCTATAAATTCTTTCTCAATGTTGACAGGGAAATTGAAAAGACGACCGTCTGTCTAGAGAACTACAAGGCAGGATCTTTGAAGCAATCTCAAATACTCAAAGACCGAAAAGAAGAAATGGAGAACATTCAAAAAATGCACTCAGAGATTCTTGCAGCATCAGAACTCCTGCCGCTGGCTTTGATTGCCGACTATAAGGACAGTTTGAAAGCGATGGAGCGCCTTGAAAAACAATATGCCGCCATGGAGGCAGAGAATAAACAGCTTCAGATCAAGAACGATGCTGAAAAGCAGCAACTAGATCAGCTAGATGAGGAGCTAAAGTTGCGCAGACTGCAAAGCGACCAGGATGCCAAAGCAGTGCTAGGCGGGCTTGAAAAACTAAAAATTGATTTACAAAGGAAAACTGCTGCAGCTGACAGCCTGGAGAAACAATACCAAGAGTTGCAGGAGAAAATTGATGAACAGCAACGTTTAGCTCAATTAATGGACCAGACCCTTACTGAGCTATTTGGAGAGAATTAGAATGTAATTAGTTGCAAATGTAGCATTTTCAGTAATTATAATATAGTTTTATTGAATCTAAACATTAAAGAGTTAAAAGTTTCGCCTTATTTATGGTTAGGGCTGAACGCAATCATGTCTCCATTTTCTTGCTTTCCAAGTGGGCTTTTAACTGTTGACTGAAATCATCCTCCACATTATCGTCGTCCCAGTTGTCCTCCCACACGTTGAGCTCCTCCTCATCGTCGCCCACTCGAAAGTCTGAGAGGACGCATACTTTTTAGCGTCTATTTTGCCATTGCGGGTTAATCAGAACTTACCTTCAGCTGGAAACTCTTCGAACTCGTCGTCCTCTTCTAGCAAACCCAAGTCCTCGCTTTTGGCGTTGGTCTCTTGCGTATCCAACTCTTTATTCTTCTCTTTTTCGGGCGCAGACATCTTTTCGGTGCTAGTTTTGACTAATTTATAAACAAATACTTTTTGACGCCGATGTAAAATGCACGAAATGATGCAGAGTCATCTGTCAAAATGGTAACTCTATTAAAAATGGCCTGCCCAGACTGTTTTAAAACACTGACCATATGATGGCGCAGCCATATGCGCAATCTACATACGAATATCATGGCGCTACCAGACACGCGCAAAATATTGCAACCCCAAATGATCCTTACAAAACGTAAACAAAAGCTGTACAATAATATCATACTCATATTAGCAACCAAACGTTGGTAAACACTTCGTAAATATACCAACAATCCGTTTTCCAGTCCCTTTAATTAAGTACAGTGTAGCCAGAGCATGGCAGACCCTAGCAAACTGTATATAGCTGTGGTGTGTATTATAGATACAGAATCTTATCATTATAAAATTATTTATTCGTATTCCACCCCCTTTTTGTACAGGTGTGTAGTAGTAACATAAATCGGTCAATGGAAGCACATGGTTTCCTGGCAAAGAAGGGATTCAGGGTGAAATCGTTTGGAACCGGTGAACGTGTGCGTCTTCCTGGCCTCTATATTGATAAGCCGAATGTGTACGAATTTGGAACAAGCTACGAGGACATTTACAATGATCTGGCCCGAAAAGACCGTGACTATTACACAGAGAACGGGCTGCTCCATTTACTCGATAGGAATCGACGGATAAAAAAGTGCCCTGAACGGTTCCAAGAGTGCTCCGAACAATTCGATGTTATTATAACGGTAGAGGAGCGGGTATTTGATGCCGTTGTGGAGTGTCTAGAGTCCCGGGAGCCTGTAGACAATCGCCCAGTTCATGTGCTAAATGTGGATATTGAGGATAATCATGAGGAGGCGTTAATGGGTTCGTTTCTGATTGGAGATATGTTGGCAATGATGTCGAAATCCAATGATTTGGATAACGACATATGTATCATGTAAGACTCATTCTATTCTGTAATGGTATCTAACTAATTGGAATTCGTTTACAGGCTAATGGAAATGGAAACGAGAAAGAAGAAGACAATATTGCATTCTGTACATTTTTACTAAGAAGGAGTAAGCAGGAGTTGACTCCCAATTTTATTTAAATTTGATCGCTAGCAAGTAATAAATGCCATTGGATTGCGCTATACATTTTAATTATTATTACTTTTTTAAAGGTAACGGTGCTAGGACCTAATACGACGACTTTTGAATGATGTTCAAAAACCTTCTAAAAGCGTACAAAGGGGAACAAGAAGCCCAACATTTAATTTACGTGGAAAAGCTTTGACGATATGTACATCCCAATCAGCAATTTTTGTGTTTGAATGTTCTGAATAATGTTCAACCTTATGAAAATATTGGGGAATGCCCACCCATCTTAGTGAATAAAGTTGAATATGCCGCCCAATCAGATAGTTGTTATACTTTGGCCACAAGGCTGAAAAAAGTAATAGAAATGATACGCCAACACCCCGTAATTGTAAGACAACACTTCTAATTTTTTTTTTTTTTTTTTTGAAATATCTGTTTATTTCCATTTCGAATTTTCTTTAACATTTTGACTTGTGGCTATTTGACTTTCAAGCTATGTATGTAATAAGGTTATTGAGCGTTGGCTGCTGCACTACATTAAATGTTTAACTGTTAAGAGCGGTTCTGGCTATTTTAAACAATTGGAGCAAAAAGTTTAGTTGAATTAACATTGATATAGAAATATTCTTATGTATAGGTATTGCTTGTGTTATGCTTTTGATTTCTTTGTTGCATAGCGAACTTCGGACAGCTTTTTGTTTGGCTATTTTTGTTTTTGTATGCCAAAGTGAAACGAAAATAAAAACAGCTAATTCTTTTGTTCAATATTTTTGTTCCTTGCTTAGTGTAAAAATTTGGTATGCCAAAATATATGTATACTTCATATATAGTATATACAATCCTTTTACAAGTAATTGTTTACACATTTGTAGTTGCTTTAATAACTTTAGATCAACATTTAACATTTACGTTGCCTTCGATTTGTCCGCTATTTATGAATGTTTATATAGGTATACATATATCGTACTCGTATGTATAGGAAATACAAATACATACTCAACTAAACTGATGGAGCATCGAATGCCGCATTTATGGACTGCCCCCTCAATTATTAGTATGCTAGTTTCTTAGAGGAATTACACACCATACATTTTATTTGATTAGTTAAACTGTGTTGAACCTAATGTTCAGTTTGTGTTTCGTATTGTTACCGATTTGTATTTGTTTTGTTTTTTTAAATGGGCTTGTGTTTGCTCTTCTGTTCTATACATATTTTTCATCACAGACGCACTACGCATAATAAAATGCAATGCTTATTATCATCATTTAACAATTTGTTTCATTTTTTGTTTATGTCGACAAGCTCCATTTGTGCCTGGATGTGACGCTAACTCTTTTGCTGACAATTTATCGTCCCAGGCCTTGTCATACAGTAAGCATTCGAAATAGTTGAAAAGAAGCTGAAGCCCTTCGCAATAGACATGTGTTCTTTAAAACTATATTCGAAATCAAATATGAATTTGTTTTTTTAGGAACAAATGCAACCAATTTTGATGGATCTGGAGATTATTGTTAGACAATAGTTGCAGTTTCCTTTGATTTGTATCAGGCCTTAAAGTATTATTGGACATAATTTATTTCAAAATATTGAGCAAAATGAAAAAATGGCTGCTTAGAAAAGTTCCGAAGTTTTGTAGGATTAGTTACAGTTTCCTTCATCTGCATTTTGTCGTCTTTATCGAATGCGCACTGTATGTTCAATACATTTGTAAGTACAAAATAGAAATTAATATTTGACAGTTTCTATCAATATCAACAGAGTACACCAATAATCGAGGGTAACTATAAAAATAAGCGTTTACAATATGAATACATAATAATATGTAATATGTGGTAATTGCGTTCTGACCAAGTCAAGTTCTACAGTTTTGTGGCTATTATATAGATAAAGAGTACAAACAGATAATCCAAATGTGTATGTGTCTCTGTGCATATATCAAGTAAGAGTTATTTATTATTGTATATATTAAGTGTTTTATGAAAGCTTTCTAGAAAAAGTGTATATCACATATAGAGGAAGTTTAAAATATGTTTTTTCTTCTTATTTCATGTTTGTTGGTTTGTTTTTTGTTTTGTTTTTCATTTTAGATGCACATCAACTATTTTTGTTGTCCTTGTCTGATTAGCAGAGACTCGGATGCTTCAGCTCGTACTATTAGTTTTGTCTTAAACAAAGTGCCTAAAGTTTAACAAAGATCGTTTGTTAAATAAAATAAAATCATACTTAAAAGTAGACATCGATAATGTACAAATCGAGCGGCTAGCCTCAAATAAAATGCCAAAAATATATAAGTTTACAAGCATAAATATTATATACACATAAATAGGTATATATAGTATATAGTTTTCAAAGAAGAGCACCAATGAAGTTACGATTATTAAACAAACATTTGCTGGAACTGTTGTGTGCGGGTGTGTTTGTTTGCTTGTGTGGAACAACAAATTACAGATTTAAGACAAAATTTTATAGCAATAAATAATAATTGAAACGCTACAACAACTACATATAAATAGTATAGCTTATGATATCTGTACGGTTTCATTTTTTTCACATTCTTAATGTTTTGTTAAATGTTTTTTTCTTCTTTTTTTAAACGCTAAGCGTTCTCTAACGGTTTCTCGTCTCGGTTTTTGCCTTTTGCGTAATAGTTTTGTTTCTGCTTTTAGCTTACGAACTACATAAATACACATCGAACATCAAAAATATGGTAGCATATGCGTAAATGGTTAATAGTACATACATATTAAATAGTAATAATAAAATGCTAACACACATGTACATACATTTATAAGAAATTTATATAGGAGGGTGCTTCGTTAAATACAATATTCGTAATAAATGTTCGCAACGGTTTTGCTGAATAGTCAAAAATAGTTTTTGATAACAGAAATTCAAGAAAGAGTACAATTTGCATAAAGAAAACATAAAATCTGAAGCAATAAACGCCAATTAATATAAAGATATTGCAAATCAGTGTTGTCATAAATACTTTAAATCATTTCTTCGTTTTCCTTTCGTCCTTCGTTTTGATAGAAAGTTATAAACAATAAGTAACAAATATCTCTGACAGAATAACAAACATAAATAGTGGAAAGCAATTAGGTAAATATAAAACATAATCTAAAAACAAAACGAAGAAATAATACCATTAAGCAAAATATCTAAGACAAACAAAATTCGAAATGAAAGGTAAACACAAATAAAAAGGTATATAATAAACATAACGCAATTTTCGTGACAAAATTAAGAGTTTCTAATATGATTCAGCATTAACATAGTTTTGCAGATATTACGATTTTTGCTGGCATTTATCTCTTTAAATAGCACACCCCCTTGGCTAATTAAGCATAAATACAAACAACAAATTCACTCGCGACGCGTACGTTTCGGTCGCGATGCTGCTATGGAATCATTGGCCGCTGCCGATGCCAATGCAGGAGACGCACCAGTGCCGCCATCCGATCCGGCTGACGATGCGATAGCCGTCACATTGATAGTGGCATGTGTGGATATGTTCGATGGCTGCTTATCCACACCGCGCACCTTACGCGATGCTACTGATTGAGCGGTTACCTGCAGCGAAATGGCATGGGTGTTGAGCTTCTCGGCCAGCAGCAAATCCTTGAGACCCTTCATTTTCTGACTGTAGAGCGTTATGACGGGACGTTTAAGCATGATTTCAAAAGGATCGTAATCGTCAATGCTCGAGTTGGTGTGAGTTGCTGCTGTTGTCACTGCTGCTGCTTTGGCAGCTGTTGTTGTTGCTGCTGCTGCTGCTGCTGTTTCTGTTGTCTCCATTTTAGCTTCTTTGTGCTCTACATTTGTGCTGTTAGCCTCGCTAGACGATGATTGAACATTTGAACCGCCATTTGTTGTAGCCTCCTTGGCGGTTGTGTTGTTGTTATTGATGTTGTTGTGCTGTTGTTGCTCCACCGAGGGTGTAGTTGTTGTTGTTGCTGTTACTGTTGACTTTCCTGCCTGTTGAACAGACGTTTGCTGTTTTTGGTCGGCAAATGGTTGGCCACCACCTTGCAGCAGAAAATCTGGATTCAAAATCTTTTCTCCGCAAGCAGCCGTCAAATCCGCCAAAGTTGTGGGCAGCTCCGACTTTTTGCCATCCGCATTGTGTTTCTGTAGACATATAATGCCATTAGTTAGCTATGATTCCATTTTCTCTTTTAACTACATTTTAAGCAGTGTAGTTTTTAAAGCTAAGCTCAAATATTCTTCAACTTTTAAGGGTTCTTTCGTTACTGATGTTATTAATCAGTTCAAAGTATTTGATAATGAATTATTTTAAGTATAACATGCATAACTTACCTCATCTTTCTTGATTAATGTATTGTTGTTGTTATTGTTGCCCTCAAATTGTAATGCCTCTTGCGCTTTCTTCGCCTGCTCAGCAGCCGCAGCCGCCGCCGCTGCTTGCTCCGCCTCCACATCCTCGGGCAGCTTAATAACCACCTGGGAGCGTATGTCGTAATCGAATTTGGTAATATTAGTAACCAATGGCTTGGCCCATCCAATATGCAATATGGGCGTCAAACTGTCCTCCTCCCACTGACAGATGCCATCGTAGAAACGCAGTAGGTTGGCGAAAACCTCAGAGTCTCGCAGAATGCTGCGTGCTGAGTGCCCCGAACTCTCCGTCTTCATCACATACGGTATCAGCTCGTTAGCAATGTCCAGCAGCTCCTTATAGATTTCCTCATCGTCCCGACATTGGTAGGTGTAGAGCCTGATGACATCCGCTGCATTGGCCCAGGCGGCAAAAGCTTCGCGGTACTTGAGCAGTCGATTGTAGTAGTTGCCCTGATAGGTGTATGGATACACATGGTGGTTCCGATAGTGCGTGCGTGCCGCCTCAATAGCCTCTCGATATAGCTGCTCACAACTGATGCTACGATGTGTGCGGTGAATTTCCTCTAGTTCGCCGAGCGTTCCTAAAGCCATCGGATATTTTTTGAGATGTCCCAAATCGTAGAGGAGCCAGAGAAGCTGCTGCTGTAGCTCTGCGACTTCCACGCAGTCGCTGTTCGTTGTGAGAGAGATGTTTAGTGCCGCACAGATGGCAGCCACTTCCATGCCGCGCTCGCAAACCACCGCCAGGCCGCCTAGGTAGAGCCAGGAGCCCGACTCAATGCCCGGCGTGATGTCCTGTCCGCGTTTATCCTCGCTGCCCTTGCCATGCCAGGTTACCTCAATGGTTTCCACACGCTTCTGGCCAAACACTACCCACGCATGATCCTCGGATATGGCCAGGCGCACATCCTTGTAACCTAGCAGCTGGCAACCGGCCACCACGGCCAGCGCCACACCAAAGCAGTCCAGCTTATTGCCCGACAGATAGCTATAAAGGTTCTGCAGATGCGCACGATCCTTGTAGCTGCTGCGTATCAGCGAATTCCATATAACGTCCGATACCTTCTTGATGACTTCCCGCGTAGCCTGACGATGTGGCTTGGGTTTCTCCACAACAGATAAAATGGTTTGAAATTTTTTATAGAGACCCGCTATCAACTCGTGAGTTACAATTGGAAAGGGTACGCTGTTGCCCATAATAATGTCCCCAGACGCTGCAACAGAACCAAAAGAGAGGAAAGAAAATGGGTTAAGCGGAAATTGGTAAAACGGTAAATTTAAGCACACACCTGTCGCTGTTTGAGCGCCGCCAACGCCGCCCCCTCCACCAGCACCGCCACCACCAGCGCCAGCCAAAAGCGAAGCAACCCCGCCACCACTGCTATGCTGCTGTTCTGCCGCTGCTGCTGCCGCCGCCGCTGCTTGCGCTGCTTCGCCCGTGGTTAGCGAAAGTTCTATATAGCCGACAACAATGGACAGAAGCGTGAGATCCGGCTCGATACCACTGGTGAGCGCCCGACGAAAGAGATTAACCACATCTGCTGTAGATTTGAGTGGAAACAGGCTGGGATCAATGATGGCATTCAGTGCCATGCAAGGACTAGCGCTGGCGCTACGCGTTATCGTCGACATCTTAAGGTGGGGATGCTGCAATTAAACTTTGGATGATATTACAAGTACGTTTGCGCGTTCCTCTGCTAATACTGGCCGCAGGCGCTGCTGCATGCACACTGGCGCACTACTTTAGTACTAGTTGTCGTCCAGGTTGGTTGTCCAGTTGATGGTAGTTGTTGTTGTAGCAGCAGCAGCAGTACAGCCAGCCACTTTGTTGCTGCAACATTTGACTTTTACTCTGGACGCCAACAAGTTGACAAACAACTTTTTTACTTTCCGCACTAGCTGCCCTTTTTCGTTCTTGTTGTTGCTGCTGTTGCTGTTGTAGTTATTTTCTTGAGTGCTGCCTTATTCTCGAGTATCAGGATTTTTATGCAATGCCTTGTCGATGCGCGACTGCATTTTCTTAGCTGTTTCGGTTTCTGCTGCTGATGTGTTGCGTTTGGTTTGTGTGTGTATGCGTGTGTCGTTCAATTGCACTTCGTTAATTTCACTCGTGTCACCAGCAGCTTGCTGCTGCTGTTGTTGTTGCTTTTTATATTTTGTGAATATCCTTTCGTTGTTGTCCTTGTCTTCTTGCACTTGCACACGTCAGCAAGCACAAATTGAGCTTCGATTTCGGCGTGCAGGTGTTCGTTCGGCAGGTGAGTGAAATTGCGTAGCAGCTAACTAGCTGTCGTCGCGTTTGACGTGCGGTTTTTTCTTCTATTTTTTGTTAATGCGTGCTGCCACCCGCCAACCCGCCCGCCCACACACGCACAAATACCGAAGGCCTATCAGATTTGACACGCAATTTTTTCCACACTGCGGCGTATTACCTACAAATGATCTCTTTGAAGCTGTGCGATCTTATTAATTATTAAATTTTAATCTTATTAAATAGAGTTTGAGTTTAATTGTGCGTTAAAGACGAAAATGCTTTTATTTTTATTAAATAACTTGCTTAAAACGTAGAATTCCTATGAAGTGCGTTGTGTTTATGTTTTTCGGTCGCCGTTTTACAACACTAATCCAACGAATCGGCCTACCAGACCGGCCGCTGCAGTGTTGCCAGACAAGTGCACTAAGTAGCTAATAAACAAAAGCACAAAACAATAATGCCGGCCGCTTTTGTAGACTTTCAATGCGGTAGGACTATAGATTGCAAACAGGGCGCTGTGCGTGCCGTACGCTATAATGTTGATGGTTCCTATTGCTTGAGCTGTGGCTCCGACAAAAAGGTCAAGCTGTGGAATCCAGCCTCTGGGCTCTTGCTGAAAACCTATGGCGGTCACGCTGATGAAGTTACCGACGTTTCAGGAAGCTGTGACAGCAATCATATCGGTAAGGTTCAATTCTATTTGTATTTTATTTAGAAATAACGCGAATAAATAGTCTCATCCAGTTTGGACAGAAGCATCATCTACTGGGATGTCTCGACCGGATTGCCGGTGCGCCGTTTACGGAGCCATGCGGGCGGCGTGAGATGCGTGCGCTTCAATGAGGATTCATCCATTGCCATATCTGGAGGACGCGACAATGCGGTTATGTGCTGGGACATACGCACACGGCGATTGGAGCCGGTGCAGGTGATGAAGGAGGCTCGTGATTGCATCACAACTGTTTTAACAAATGATCACAAGATTTTCGCCGCCTCATTGGATGGCTGTGTGCGTCATTATGACATACGTGTTGGCGAAATGACCTGCGACAAAATAGGTGAACCCGTCACCTATTTGGCCCTTACACGGGATGAGCAGTGCCTGGTGGCCGGCTGCCAGGATAGCGTGGTGCGTTTGCTGGATTGCTCTACCGGCGAGCTGTTAAACGAGTACAAGGGACACCAGGCGGACGACTATCACATAGAGTGCGGCATTATGGCGAGCGATGCCCAAGTTGTGGCTGGATCAAGCGAAGGATGTGCTTACGTTTGGGATCTTCTCGAAGGCAAAGTGGTGCAGCGCATTACCATCAGTAAGCCAGTGTTATATTCAGTCCATATTATTAGTTGTATGAACTAATTGTTGCTGCTTTTATTGCAGGCGATAATGGCGGGGTAGTGCATTCTCTGGCCACACACCCAAAGCGACAGGAGTTGCTATTTGCAAGGCGGCGTGATATTTACGTGTATTCGACGGACGTAGAGATTATTGTAGAAGAAATTTAATTATATGTAATCGTAATTTAGACTTGACATTAACAGCGGAGAGCCGGCGACGACAATTTTGTTTTACGTTCTCTACATACTTATTATGAAGTCCTGGGCGCAATCGTTTGTTAATTAGAGCGCGAATTAGGGGGTTTATGTAAGAATAACATTTAAAACATTTGTCTGATGGTTAGCAATAAACTTTATTCGTTATATGTAGAATACTATACATAATCGTTGTATTATTAAACCGTTTGTGGTTTGGTTGCTTTAAATCAATATGATCTATCTTCCCAACTGATCAATGTTCTTCAATGTCCTAATCTTCTCTCCTAATCAGCTGATCTTAGTTCCAAGCCGATCTGAGTCCCCCCCTTTCTTTCCGCTAACCTATCTCTGACGCGAGCTCATCTCTGTTCTCAGCTGATCATAGTTCTCAGATAATCTCTGTTCCCACTATCTGTCAGTTTAGCTCAACGCTAATGTCTGAACTGAGCTGTATCTGATCCAACCTCATCTCTCAGCTCCCAGCTGATCATTATTCTCAGAGAATCTCTGTTCAACGCTTATATTTGAACTGAGCTTTGTAGATTTCTGAGCTGATCTCTGTTCTCAGCTTATTTCTGTTCCCACTCTCAATTTTCAGCATTTGCACTTCTCCCCACAAAGTTAAAAGTCATTTCGCATTTCGTTGAGGGAAAAGGAAAAACCATTTATTTGACATCATTTTTTGTTGTTGTTTCTTTACCGGTTGTTGTAGTTGTTTTTATCATAATGAATTTTTCATTTTAATGTAATGCATATAATAATAAGTATGTATACACAATAGGCATATGCATATATATATCCTTTTATATATGTATGTATATATTGATTTTTATTTCATGTAGTTATGAATGTTTCTTTTTTAAATAGCGTTCATTATATATTATTTTGTTGATTTAAATATAGTTTAAATGGTAACATTATGTATTTTTTTCATTTATTTTTTTTGTTTGTTTCTTTTTTTTTTGTAGTTTTTAAATATGTATATATGTATAGAGCATGAATGTATGTAGTAATATGTTGTATGTATGTATGATCCTTGCTTACATGCAAAATTCTGCTTCTGCTTCTTCTTCTGAGTTCTTCAAACTTCCTGTGGTGTTGTAACTCTACATTTATAGAGGCAATGCAATTCCAAATACATATGTGTGAGTGTGTGTGTGGGTGGATGGTTGGGCGTGGTGAGGATGAGGGAGAACGGCTGTGGTGCTTGGAGCCGTTCAAAGCCGTTGAAACGTTCCCCCCCGCCACGCTGCCTTTCTCCCATTTCCCCAAACAACAGACACTTTGTGCCTTGGAGATGGAGTAGGTAAGAAAGGATGCGCGCGTGTTGGTGGTGGAACGTAGAAACGGCTTAGAATTTAAAAACAAAACAATGCAAAATGTTGGCTAGAATATATAATCTATATAGAATAGGCATATAGCACACATACTACGCACTCTCTCATTCACTCTTTCTCGTTGTAAACACGCTCTCTCTTATACGCACACACGCACACTCACACACAAACACACATGTAATTATGTACAATTGCATGGCTTTAAATTGAACGCTCGCTTTGCTTTAATTCTCTTATACGCTAAAGCATATTACATATGTATATGAATTGTATTTAATCATTTATTTACTCTCGTATGTATATATTATTAATAATAATAATAATAATGTACTCGTATTTATTTAGTAGTAAATTATGTAATGTTGCGTTACTTATTTATATAACTGTATCTCTCTGTATCTGTATCTGTGTTATGTATGCGTAATTGTATATTTATGTATTTATATATATGTATATATATATATAAATATGTATGTATATATTTATATATGTATCATGTAAGTTTATATAATAAACGATTCTCACTTTACCACGCACTTATTCGCTAACATAATTCGACTTATTTTTATATGGGTGTATCTCTTGATCTTGTTTTGTTTTGTTTAATTTTTCCTTATTTTTTTTTTACACAAAATTATATATTCCAACAAAAACTTAATTCGTTCCATGATCAATTGTTGTTGCACTTGCATATCTCTTAAATGGAGAAACTACATAATATGTATGCGCATGCAATTGTTGTTGTTAAAAAAATAAAAAATACGCCTTTAAGTAATAATAAATTATAATTTAAAGAAGTAAAAATTAATGCGATGGTGTTTTTAGAGTTCTCTCGATCGATCGTTGCATGCAACACAACCCCACTCCCACACATACACACATATATTATGTACATATGTGTATGTGTGCATGTGTGTGTTGTGTTTATGTATTCAAGGAATCAATCAATTTGTTTCATAATTTGTTTGAATTTGCATTCAATTTTGCAATGCAATTCGATTATTTTCATGTATTTGTTGCCTGTTTTCTCTTTCTCTTCTTCTTCTTTTACATATGTGTGTGTGTTGTTGTTGTAAATAAAAACTCGTAAATTGTATGTCTATTTTTTGTACTTTGTTTTTGTTGTTGTTGCTGCTGTTGCTGTCGGTATTTAAATCATAAAGGGGGCAGCTTTTGACAAATCATAACAATATATATTTTTTGTTTTTCTTTCCTTCACTTTAGTTGCTTAACAAATAGTATAATGAAACAAAAATTTGCAATAATTTACAATGGCTATATGTGTGTGAGTTGGTGTTTTCTTTTTTTTTTCTTCTGTTGTTGTTGTTGTTCGAAATGATATAGTACAAGTGTTGTATTGTTGTTGTTGTTGTGTTGTATTACACAAATATTGATAGAATAGAAAAAAGAACAAACTTTAAAACTTAAAATGAAACGATTTAACATAATAATAAAAATAATTGATAATTTTCACTAATTTACATTTACATTGAATGTATTAGTGTGAGCAGCGTATGTGTGCGCATGTATTAGTGTGAGCAGCATATATGTATGTGTGTACTACTACTCTGTTAACTAATACTTATATAATTGCTCTAATACGCTGTTAACTTAACATGTCTGTGTTAAGCAGTCTCTCTCTTGCTAAAAGTATTACTGTTGTTGTCGCTGTCGGAGTTGTTGCTGCTGTTGCTTAACATTTTTCGCACTGCTGCGTCGCTTGCTAACATTGTATTTAGTAGTAGAATTATTAGTGGTAGCAGTTGCATTTAAAGTAGTAGTTTTAGTTGTAGTAGTAGTAGTAGTTACAGCATGGGCGGGATGCCGTGTGCCTTTAATACTAGCCCTAGACTGCAGCAGCTTCATCTGCTGCTGCGACTGCTGATGCTGCTGCTGCGGTTGCGGTTTGTTGCCTAACGGTTCAATGAGAATGCTGCTGCCGCTGTTCGCTCCTTGGGGCAATCAGGATGACGACAACTGCTTGGCCACAATGACTCCGGGACGGCACTGCTTGAGGGCAGTCGAGATGGTCAACTGTTGACTGCCCGTCAGACCGCTATTACTGCTGACGACAACATTGGCGCCGCTGCCGCTGCCCGCTGCTGAACTCAACGCGCTCTGCACTTTGAAGATGGCTGTTGGTGTGACGGTTGCTCCGTTGCCTGGACCGCCCGATGCCACATCCTTGGCCGTCTTCGCCGTGATGATAACCTGCTTGTTGCCCTTCAGGTGCAGGAACGGACGCAGCTCGGCGACTGCCGCATGCTGCTTGCCTGTGGTCAGCGCCAGTGGGGCATCCTGTCCGGCCAGTCGATGGTGTGACGTTGTTACCACATGCTGGTGATGATGCTGTTGATGCTGTTGCTGGTGTTGTTGCTGATGATGATACTGTTGCTGCAATTTGTGCTGCTCCGCCCCGCCATCCGCAAACAGATGGTCGCCTTCTAGGTGGCGGATCGCTTCCACAATAGTTTCGAGATTTTGGCGCGAGCGTGTGAAGACGACTGGCTGGTCCAACTTTTCCGTCTTCACCTTAACAATTTTCTCGTTGATGCGCTCGACTTCGACCTTGGGCGTGGCCTTAATGGCCGCCTGCAGGATGGGCTGGAGGACGGCGGCACTCGCACACGGCGCACCCTCGGCATAGGCTTTGGCAATGGCATTCACATTCACCTCATTCTCGGACTCTGTGGAACTGTTCGAGGACAGAATCACCTCCTCGTGCACCTGATCCTCCGTAATAATTTCGGCAGCGGCATCTGCCTCCAACTCTTCAATGCTGGAGCAAACAACAACTTGTTGCTGGCCGGTCATCTCGTCGATCTCCACATAGGACACCGTACCGCCCAATTCCTCCAGATCCTCGGAGCGCACAAAGTTGTCCGTGTGTTCGATGACCTCGCGTGGAATGTAGGCGGTGCTTCCGGCAGCTGCTACCGCAGTTCCTGGCGGCGCTGTGGCCACACTATAAAGTTGTCGTTTGATCATCTGGAGCTCATCTTCGAGGAGTCGGCGCAGACTACGCTCCTTCTCCAGCTGCTTCTTCATGTCGATCAACTCTTTGGCGGCTATGATGTTGGCATTGTTCAGTTTGGAGGCTGCTGCTGCTCCGCCGGCTCCAGACAGCAGTGTCATTGGTTCGGGGGACATTGAACCCAGACCCTCGTCGGAGGAATCACTGATGGTTTGTATATTGATGACATTATCCGTTAGTTTGCGCTTCTTGATAGCCACGGCACTGCTGTTGTTGCCTCCGCTGCCTGCGTTCCCCTCATTTATGGTGTAGGTGGTTAGGGTATTACCATCCGAGCCACCACCACCGGCCTCCTGCTCGCCCACCTGACGCTTCAGTTCGCTGTTCTGGGTGAGCAGCTGGGTCTTCTGGTTCTCCAATTCGCAAATGTACTGAAAGGTTTGTTGCAAGATAGCAGCCTGAAATTGAGCGAAAGAGAAAAATGATTTTTATAATATTAATATAATATATATAATATTATAATATTTTACAACAATATCCAGAAATAATGTCTCAAAATGATTGTCATTTAAATTAATTATCAATATTCAAAATACAACTAGTTATTGCAAAAACAATATTATTAGAATTCATTCATTAGTAATTATAGTTTTCTTCATTGCATTACTTTTCGCATTGTTGGTCACCCTGTTTGGTAGATGCAGAGGCAACAGCAAAGGTTTCTTGGGCTCGCCGCGCAACATAATTGACGACGTTGACGTCAACGTCGACCGCGCTGCTATTTGACTGAAACATCATGACGACAGACTGATGAGCCGGCCGGCATGTTGTTGTTGTTGTTTCTGCTAGAGCTCACATTCAAGTTGTTTTTGTTTGCATGGGTTTGATAATTGCAGCAAATAAATGCATACACACACACACACACACATGCATACACTTAGTGTTGTGGTTAAAGTGAATGCGTGTGTTTAAATCTATGCATTAGTATTAGTAGCTTATGTGTAGTAAATAGTAGTCGCTGGGCGAGGTTAAGGAACTTGTGTCCTTCAAAAAGCGCGCGCTCTCGCAAACAAACACACCCATACGCATACATACATACTTATGTGTTTATATACTCGTGCAAACATCCATTTGTATGTATGTATGCTGCAGCTTATTTTGTTGCATACAGATGCTTTGCAACAGCAAAGACAGCCCACACACATGCCAACCAACCAGCCCACAAATATTTGCACGCATAACGGTAACGGCAGTTATTAAAAGCATCACCGCTCCATGTTGTCGTTGGTGTAGAAAGTCGCGTGGGCGCTGGCGACATGTTGCCGCAACATGTTTGCATGTACGAATTTGATAAATGCAGCAATTTAGCATACAACATACACCCACACACATGCATAGATACATTGCGACAAATTTACAAACGCACACACATGCACACATGTGTACATACTCTGTCCAAGTATGGAATGGCATGCTACAAATTCCACAGAGAGCTTAGACCTGAGATGCAAAGCTGATACAACAGCATCATGGCAAAGGAATGCGTGGCTGCGTCGCCGTCACGAGCTGCGAAAATTCTTTACCTTTGATTAAAAAATAATAAATCTTGCTTTAAATTGCAATTCATAGCAGTGGCAGCAGCAAAAACAACAACTACTACATTAATAAGAAAAAAACTTGTTTTGATTGCTTGTTTTTAGCGCTAGCGCATACGCTGCTGTTGTCGGAGGTCATAACTACACAACAACCACAAGAACAAACAGCAACAACAAACTAGCGCCAACACCGGCAACACACAGCTGGCTGTTGTTGCTCTCTCTCCTATCTCTCAGAGTATTGCTCAATGCAAGCACCAGCTGTCCGGGCTTAGTTATGTTGTTGTTTTTAATGGGGGCTTCCTCTGTGCATGACGCTCTCTCTTTCTCCCTCTCGCACTCCGTCCCCCCTACGCGTAGTTATCTCTCATTCACTCACTCGCTGGGTTGCGTGTGTACAGTTTTTCAGGGGTTTCTGTGATAAAATCAAAACGTTGGGGCAGCAGCAGCACTGCAATGTCGCGCGCATATTTTTATTTTTATAAATATAACAACAGCAACAACGACAAAGCACAATTAAGTTTTTCCACGTTGATTTGATTTTGCGCAAAGGTCGTTCATTGACTCTATATCGTTATTATTGGCAATTTATTGTTGTCGTTTAGAGTGGCAGCCAAACACTTGATTTATTGGAAGTGTGTTGGAAATAACAAAGCTATGCTGGAAGGTTGAATATAGAGTCAAAGAGGCGTGCCGACGCCAAAAGAAAAGCCGCACTGGCCCGACCCAGGCTTTACGAATACGTTCTAAGACTTGGATTTCCTAAAATTTGTGATAAGGCTTTAAAAATTTATGTACATATTTTGCCAGAGTCCACGAACGAAAATTTTTAATATTGGCGCCCTGCAAGAACATCAACAACATCAGCCATGGGGATTATGTGTTGAATCGAAGACGCGGTATCTTTTATCTCAGAATGCCTCAGATTACAGACTTATTCATAATTATTCATTCGCTGACGTTTAAATTAGTGAAGAATTGAATATTTATTTAGAATTTAGAAGGTGGCTTAAGAGTTAGGAAGGAGACCTGCATAAAGGCTTAATAAAATACTGAATGAATAAAGTAGGCAGCTACACGATACAAAAAGAGAAGAGCGCTTCAGAGTTGGTGACTATTAATAAGTTTACTTAAAGATTAAAATTAAGAATATAAACAAATCAGTAAATAAATCATGCGAGTAAAATACACAAATATAGAACTGCTTGAGAATTTTAGAAAACTTTTACGACAAAGGAGGACAACTAAGCATCTGAGTTTCTAAACTTTTTTAAAATAATAACTAATATACATATGTTCCACAATATTACAGCAAAGCTAGAAAACATTTCGCAAAACATATAATTTTATTAATAATAAGTTTTAAGCTACAATACACCAAAACATACACCAGTTATATACATACAGGGGTTTAAACATACACAAGAACATATGCACATACATAAAAACCCCCCTAGCCGAAAAGCTAATAAGAAACCGACGCTGTGGCAAAAAAATGCCGGCAAAAGAAATTCTATGCACAGAAAAAAACAAACAAAAACGAAACGAAAAAAGCGACCCCAACAAACGTAGCGAGTTGCACAAAAACAGCAACGATTGAGCCACAGCTGTACCATCAACACAACTATACACAGATGCACACTCCCTACTCACACACACATACACTCACCCACGTTTTACACTGGTGTGAGAGTAAACAAAGGCAAAATCAAAAGCATAAACATCAACAGAAAAAAGTGCCGATCAAACGTACGAGTTGTTCCAACAAGAACAAAAACACAACAGCAGCAACAGCAGCAGTGGCAGCGGCGGCAGCAACAACAACAACAGCAATGTCTGGCGCGAAACACAGCGACGACGCTCGCTCGCGTTGTCGTTTTTGTGGTGACTGTACTTTTTTCCAACACACCACCACCAAACGGGCCAAGTAGCAGCGACAACGCAACAGTTCCAATACAAAAATTTTTTTCAATATTCGCCGGCGTCGTCACAAATGTTGCTAGCGTGCTCTCACATACACATGCAGCCACATTAACAGAGAGAGCGAGAGAGAGTGCTCCTTCGTTAAGTTTCATTTTCAGTTTGTTTTGCTTCTTGAAACGGAAACAGCAAAACATGTGGGCCCAAGCTTTTTTCAGCTTTTTCAACCAGCACACAGATGTTCGTGCTCTCGCTTGCTCTCTCGCTCTTTCTAAAACACGTGTGTGCGAAGCCGCAATCTCTTAAATTTCCAATGGATATTGGAAGGTAATATAGCGCTCTCGCTCTCTCCCACACTACCTAATGGATGGCTGGCAATCTGAAACGCATGGTACAGCAAGCAGCTGACTTCGAAGGCAAGCTATAAATGGCGCGGCGGCAGCGTCGCCTGACGTTGTCTGTATCGTTTAGCTGCAGCTTTGCGCCCTATTATTCTACAATAACAACTATACTACCAAAAGTGATTCAATAAAATGCATAAAAATAGCCCATGCCATGCTGCCTGCAATAAGTTTGATGCTATGAATTGTTGGTTCGCGGGGTCGGATGGGTATGGAGGAGGTCACCAGCAGCAGCGACAGGCGGCGGCATTTGCGGCTGATTCGTCATCAGCTGAGTTGGCAGTTGTGTGAGCGAGCCATACTACGTATGTATGTACACACATACATACATACATATATATGTGTGTGTGTGTGCTGTAGTAAAGTGGGCGCGCCCGTGGGGGCCGCTGGCTCTCACAAGCAACCATCGAAAAAAAGAAATGCATGCAAAGCTTCAAGCAACCCAAATTCCTCCTCTCTCATATTAATGTTGTCTATGTTTTTTTTAATGCTGGCCTACGTGCCTGTGCACATGCCTACGCATAAAACAAAACAGTTTATTTTTACAACATTGTTATTTAGTTACAAAATACAGTACCACCGCCAACACTATTTACAATATTGTTCTCGGTTTTCCCAAAACCCGTCCAATGTTTGAAGTTTTCATTTGATTTAGGAATGCTGATACTAAAAGTCGATATTTAACGACGCTGATAACGACATTTTTGTAATATTTCGAGGTATCGGTGTTTTTGGCGTCATTTATTTGTTTTATTAGCAGTACGCTACTTTTTTCGAAATTCGCTTTCAATTTAACAAAAAAAAAACTAACAGAAACAATTCCTAAATGTCGTTTGGGAGCGGAAATCTACTTCACTATTATTTTAACCAATTCCTTTGAATGCTTGGCACAGTGTGCATTATTTTTGTTGTTGTTTTTTTCTGTACCTATTGCGTCGTACTTTTTTTTGTATTTTGGTGTGCAGCGCTCTGTGCAAACACATTTGGCGGCAAATGTCTACGCCTGGCTACGTAATTAGCGCAACAGCAAAAACAACAACAGCACTAGCAGCAGCAACAGTGGTAGTAACAACAAAAACAACATCAACATCGCTTATCTTTGGCTGACAGGTGTACAGAAAGAAGCAGCGTCGTTTTGTCTTCTTCTAGACCCCGACGTTCTCTTCTTGTGACGGTGCCCGTGCCCGTGCCAGGCAGGCAGGCAACAGAGGACAGAAAACAGGTGTGAGGCCACAATCTACCAATGTTTTCTCTTCTTCCTGCTACAGCTGCTGCTGTGCTTCATCTGCTACAACAACAAAAGCAAAAACGAAAACAAGTCAGCTGACAGACAACGTTTTTAATTTTGCGCCAGTTTTAGTTGCCAATTTCAGTTGCTTTGCTGGCGGCCTTAAATAAAAGCGTGTGTTGCTTAAAATACAAAATTCAAATTCAGAAAAAAAGAGCAGATAAAATTAAATATAAAACTTTAAACCTCTCGATTGTGTGTGTGTGTGTGCTTTATTTGCATTTCTAATGCTAAGCTTTTTTTGCATGGCATTT